TTCTAGCATTGCAATAGCAGAATGTACTACCCCAATTATATAAGTCCAGCCGAACAAAATACTAACAAAATTCTAGTTATCGACGAAATAAGTACATGGCACAAACCGAGCTCCAAAGATCTTCGAAGTACAATTTTCTATCCATTCTTCTAAATGTAAGTGTTAAAAGATGTAGCTTTTAATGAAACAAACGATTATAAACGGAAAAAAATACAATCCTAATATATAAGCGAAAAGGTAAGAAATGAATATGTACAAGCATAGAAGTAAAAGATCAAAAATTGTAATCATAGGATAAAAATAAATAACTATAGTTATAATCGAAAATGTATATAACAAAAAAATTACATTAAAAGACGCAATGTATTTCTTAGAATTGGTATTATTAATATTGATAATACAATGGAACAATAGGACATATAATAACTGAAAAACGTTTACAAAGAATGGAAATAACATTGAGAGCATTTGAAAAACACCTAACTATGAATAATCACAATATTCATTTTCGTTTAAGAACAATATGATAGACCATTTGTTCCTTACACTTTTCAAAACCAATTGGGTGCTTGGAGAGTTTCTTAGAAAGTTGATCGAATAGCTCATGGACTACACCATCTCCAAAATGTTTTTCTATAACTGTAGAAAGAATAGCTCGAAACATGGAAGTAATGAAATCGTTGGTTAATTGCATAACATCCAAAGGATGGTTTTCAGTCTCCATCATCTCAATCGTAAAGCTTCCATTTTTCTCAATTACTCCCTTCAGTTCACTAAATTGAGGAAATATATGGGCAAGTTGAACAACTCGATCTTCTCAATTGTCGTTACTCCCTACAAAGGGGAAACATTGATTATAACCATGAATGTTAAAAATAAAATGACCAAGGTCTCAAAAACTATATATGATGTTTTGGATTTTTTTAAACTAAAAATGCTTTTGAGTAATAAATCTTACCGATTTGGCGTTATCCAGAAGACACTCACCGATGATGTCCTTCACAATAGTCGACCATGTCTCATACATGGACACACCATCGGGCAAACATTGTCCTAATGCGATCATCAATCCTCCAGGCACACGTTCTTGAGCTCTAGCTTCAAGAAAAACATTCATGTCTTTTGTGAACTGGACCTTGTATGCCTTGGTTACTTCTTCTATCAAATCATTCCACGCTCGAGATTTCTTGTCACATACGTGTTCGGGAACTTTGGATAGCCAGTGAGTCGTGTAGGAAGTAAGACCGATATGGACACTGTTTCTTGGTAACACTCGACCATAGAAGGAGCCTGGAGCTCCGATCGAGAAATATTCTCGTTCGGAGGACGAAGGTTGAGTTCTAAAAAGTGTGTTGAAGTCATTCTTGGGTTGATCGTTGAAGCACACTTGGAACTTGAGAGGGAAAAGCCTATTTTCTTGATTTTCTTTCGAGTGTTTAAGTTTCACAACATCAATAATATTTTGAACAGCATAAAATGTATTAGGGCCAAGAGAACAACCAAAATCTGCAATTGTGAAAGTACTAAGATCGGGAGTCAATTTCAAGATATCAAGTTTTTCTAAAATGTATTGTCTTGTCTTTTCTTCGACCCGATCTATGGCTGCTTTCTGTATCAAAAATGTGTGTTAATTATATGGGGAATTTGGCTCACAAAAATCGTATGATATTGGCTCACAAAAATCGTATGATATTGCTAATTAATTATATGGGGAATATGGGGAATGTGTGTTAATCGTATGATATTGTATGATATGATATTACTTCTTTTGTAGTTTATAAATGTTGCATATAATAGTTAATATATACTTTACACAAAAGTTGACCTAGGCAATTAGAACTGGAATGCATATGCAGAAAACGTGTTGGTAAAGTTTTGGCGTATCCCAAACTGGGATTTATAGATTTACATAGTACTTTATAAAGTTTAAAGTTATTGTTTTACGAGAAATTTCAAAAAATGCCACTTTTCAAGTGTCATTTTACAAAAATACAATATTTTTACAATCTTTATAAAAATGTTACTTTTTCAAAATTATTTATTCATTATATTATTTATGTTTGGGTTAACTATGTTGTA